TGCCCTATATAAAGGGAGAGTGTGGCCATGGCTGGATTCTTTTGGCCATTTGAGACCTCTACAAGAGAAAAGGGAGAGTTAATTTGAGTGGGAGTCTGTTGTGACTTAGGGAGTTGCTACCATTCTTGAAATTAAGTTGAACCAAGTGCCAAGAAGGGTCTATTGTGGTTTATTGAAGCATTTTCCAATCTCATATCTTTAGACCGGGTAAGTGTAATCCCCTCAACTACACTACAAGACCTAGGTTTAGGCATTCTAGATATGTTGAGCTTTGAATGTTCGTTGTGTTGGTTTGCTAAATGAAAGGGTTAAAACTTGATGCATGTAGACTTAGGATCGCCCATTAAGCTTAGATTGAATTATGCCAAAATTGATTGGCTTTGGCTTGTATTCGTCAAAAATGTTTAATTATGATTCGATCAAAATGCTTGACTTGTACTACGCCAAAAATGTTTAATTATGATTATATCGAAAATGTATGTCGAAATGCTTGGCTTGTATTCTGCCGAAAATGCTTAGCTATGATTCCGTCGAATTTGCTTAGCTATGATTACGTCGAAAATGCCTAGCTTATGATTACGCCAAAAATGCTTAGCTTATGATTCCGTCAAATTTACTTAAGCTGCGATTCCGTTGAATTTGCTTGGCTCGCATGATTACGTCGAAAATGCTTGTATGATTCTCACGAAATTACTTCGATGAGTTATAACATGTCTTGGATTAGCTATAATGCGTAGAGCTTATTAGGACTCTTATGTTAGCTGAATGCATTGATGATATTTGTATACTTAAGCATTTAAAAGACATGTATTCATGACATAACATTGATTTCATGACTCATGTTTTAAGTAAGAAAAGAATTATGCATGAATATGGAAATGTCAACCTTCAAAATGATCCGGTGTATACTCGAGGGTTGAACATAGAGAGGCCACCCTTGGGAATGATCGCGGTGTATACTCGAAGGGCTGGTCCTCGGCTAGACATCGTCTAATTCCATGGTTTTTAAGGTTTTAAAGAGGGTTGATCGGATATTCGGTAGGGCATGTTCGAAAGATAGAAAATGTATTTCATCATGACATTATACTTTCATAAACTCATGCATGATTACACTTGCTGAGCTTTAGCTCATTCTTTATGTCTTGTGGTGTTGGTGATCGCAACGATGCTTGCGAGTAGGTCGCCACGAAGTTGCTAGACGCTTTTAGGAGTTTGTCGAAAGATGTACTTTCATCTAGGCATTTAGGTTATAGGCTAGGTTTAGCTTGTATTTATATGTTATAGCATGTTTTGTTATAAAATGTTGAATGTAATAGCCTTAAGGGCAAGACGAGGCATGTAAAAAGTTATTTTTAATAAAATAAAATATTCTACCCAAAGTTTGAGTCTCTTACGTTTATGTTGCTTTTAATGTTTTGGTATCCCACGTAAAGCATTCATGATATATCCATATAGGTAGGCCCTTAGCTTCGCTATGAATCCACATGACGAGTATGTTATCATGAATTTCGATAGACTTAAGTCGTCGCGGACGTAGGATGCCCTGGTGGAGTTTTGCGTCAACAAAATTCCGAGATGTGATATAACTTTTGTGTTGATGAAAAATTTTCGGACACGAATTGAGTTTTTAAGTAGGCTTTTGAGCCAAATGTCTTCCATTGTGCATTGCATATGTCACATATGGTTTAAGGTCATAAGGCATCAATGCGCATTCGACGAGTGCCGGATGTTGCCGCATAGCACCCGGCCCCTGCGGCTGCATGCGCTACAATTGCGCCCGGCGCGTCACGAATGTTCGATGTTGCCATAGCACTCTAGCCTCCCTCTCGGGGCTCGGGGTGTTATAGAAATGGTATCGAGTAAGTCGGTTCAATAGGCTAAGAAAGTACATGCAAACTCCCGCTCCGGTAACGTCGTCGATGCGTAAGTGCTTAAATTTCATTAGATATGGAAGTGTGAAATTTTACTTAGCATGTGTGAATTTCTTTCTCTCGATGAAATATGTGATATGTTCGAATGTTTGATGAATACATAACTTGTTATTTGATGAATTGCTTAATATGCTTAATGCTTGTCGATATTGTATGTTTGATGCTTTGCCAATATTATTGAATGGGCTTGTGTGTGGCATTATGCATCCGGTGATCGGATGGAAATTTTTATGCTTAGAACAGTATGGCTAAGAAAAATCAGAATGGTGAGGGTGTTGCTAAGAGGAATCACAACGGCGAGGGGTTAAGTCGTAGGCACGGCCACCGTGAAGCAAATAATGAACTTATGAATAGTGGGATGTCGGTGAGCATGTCTTTGAACTATTACGATAGTAACAACGGAGGCACGATGAACAAATACAAGTCTTGATGTCTATGTAGCAACCGCGTGTTCGGCCTAGGCTAGTGTAGAGGGCCGACATGGTGGAGCGATTACGAAAGTTTAGTACGAAGGATTTTATGGGCAAAGCCGATCCGATGGTTGCCGAGGAATGGATAGAGTCTCTAGAAATGATCTTTTAGCATATTGCAATGGGGGATGTAGATAGAGTACCATGTGCCGTATTAATGTCGACTAATGATGCTCGAGCATGGTGGGAATCGACGAAGGTATCCTTAGATGGCCTAATCTTACATGGGCCTAATTCAAGGGAGTCTTCAATGAGAAGTTCTTTCTTGAAGGTATGAAATCAAGAAAGATACAAGAGTTTATGAAGGCTGGAACGGGGAGACATGTCGGTGGCCGAGTATGTCTACGAGTTCGAACATAGATGCCGGCTTGTGACTTTTATTTCGGGAGTCGCCGCTAGAAGAAGGGGCATTTTCCGAGGGGTTTGAACCCGGAGCTGCGAAGTTTGGTGCGAGTGTCCGCAACTAATTATAGTGACATGGTCGGCTAGGCCTTGGAAATTGAGGTAGACCGAAAGGAAGGCTGTAAGGTTACAATGGGCCAAATGGCCCTACGTGACACCAAGGTTTATCGAACAATCTACCAAGAGAGGGCGGCATATGTGACGGTGGTAGAATGGTGCTAAGAGGCCCGAGTGGCCGAGAGGCAGCAGAGGTCTAAGGCACTAGATAAGCCGACTTGTGTGAAGTGTAATTACAAGCACATTAGAGATTGTTTGGTCGGCACCAACACTTGCTATTTTTACAAGGAACTTGGGCACATGGTGAACGAGTTGTCCAAAGAAGCATAACACATTAAGGGTTTCGGGGAGAGTATACATAATGATGCAAGAACAAGCTGAGGAGGAGCACGTGATGATTATTTACGGTAATGTTCTTATACTTAAATTAGTTGCATATACTCTTGTTGATTCGGTGCCACGCATTCATTCATTGCATGGTCTATGCTAAGAAAATTAGGTCTTGTGCACGAGGCACTTGGTGTTGTCTATGGGGTAGGCCTCCTGTCGGGGGAGATATTGGAGTCTAGGAATGTGGTCGGAAATTAAAAATTATGGATTGGTGATAGGATCTTGGTAGTTGATCTAATTGTGTTAAGGATCCGAGACTTTGACATGATTTTGGGAATGGATAACTTGTCCAAACTCGAAGCATCGATTGATTGTTTAGCGAAAGGGTTGAGTTTTGACCACTAGGGGAAGAACCATTTGAATTTTGGGTCGAGAACAAGCTGAAAATAGTGGGCATTATCTCTGTCATGGCAACTTGGAAAATGATCCAAAATGGTTGCTTGGGTTGCTAAGTCGGTGTGATAGATACAACAAAGAAGGGAAAGACCAAACCAAAAGACATTGACGTTGTGAAGGACTTTCTAGATGTCTTTCCCGAGAGTTTGATGGGGCTACCTCCAAGACAAGATGTTGAGTTTGAGATTGAGCTTGAGCTAGGATCGGCATCGATTTCAAAAGCTCCGTATAGGATGGCGCCTGTTGAACTCAAGGAGCTAAAAATTCGGATGGAAGATTTGTTGGACAAGGGCTATATTCACCCTAGGTGTTCACCTTGGGGAGCTCGATATTGTTTGTGAAGAATAAGGATGGAACATTATGGTTGTGTGTGGACTATTGCGGGCTGAATCGAGTCACTATTAAGAACAAGTACCCGCTCCCACGCATTGATGATTTGTTTGATCGGTTGAGGGGTAGCACTTGTGTTCTCGGAGATAGATTTACAATTTGGATATTTTCAGTTGGGGATCAAAGAAGAGGATGTGAAGAAGATGGCTTTTCGAACACGCTACGAGCATTACGAATTTATGGTGATGCCATTCGGCCTAACCAATGCTCCTACAAAGTTCATGGATTTGATGAATCGTGTCTTTTGGGAATATTTGGACGGCTTCATCATCGTCTTCATTGATGATATTCGATCTACTTAAGTAATTGGGAGGAGCATGTAAGACACTTGAGGTCGACATTGCAAACCTTACGAGAGCATAAATTTTACGCTAAGTTTAAGAAGTGTGTATTTTTGGCTCCAACAAGTGTCTTTCCTTGTTCATGTTATCTCTAAAGATGGGGTTATTGTTGATCCAAGCAAGATTGAGTTAGTACAAGGGTGGATACAACCGAAGAATGTGTCCGAATTACGAAGTTTTCTTAGCTCGGCAGGTTACTACCGAAAGTTCGTCGATGGATTTTAAAAAATTGCAGCTCCGCTCACAATGTTAACACGAAAGAACACTAAGTTTATATGGGATGCCGAGTGTGAGGATAGTTTTCGAGAGCTAAAATCCGGAGTAACTTCAGCACCAGTATTAGCCCTTCCATCGGACCATGAAGATTTCATCATTTATACCAACGCGTCAAAAATCGAGCTTGGAGTCGTTTTGATTCAAGCCGGCCAAGTGATCGTGTATGCTTCGTGACGGTTAAAGAGTGACGAAAGAAGCTATCTAACGCATGAATTAGAGCTGGCAGCGAGTGGTGTTTGCGTTGAAAGTGTGGCGACACTACTTATACGGGGTTCGGTGTAAAATTTACACCGATCACACGAGCCTCAAACACATATTCACACAAAAGAAGGCTGAACATGAGGTAGCGTCGGTGGCTGGAAGTGCTTGGAGGATTACGACATTATTTTTGATTATCACATCAAAAAAGCAAATGTCGTCATAGATGCGTTGAGCCGAAAGACATGGGCTATGTTGCAAGTAGAAATTGTTGCGGATTTGTCAAGTCTATGGCTGAAAATTCTACCAAGTGGGGACAGTGATGGTCTATTGCGTGCGATGGTCTTGGGGTCGGATTTATTACAAGAAATCAAGGAAAAACGGATGAAGGATTCAGATTTGGCTAGAATTTGGTAGAAAATGGCGGTTAGGTAGGAATTAGGTTTTGCCACGAGATAGTGATGACGTTCTACGCTACCGCGGTAGATTGTGTGTTCTAGCCGAAACAGAGTTGCATCTAAGTATTTTGAGGGAAGCTCATGCCACTCCATACACCATTCATCTCGGTAGTATGAAGATGTATCGAGACCTAATGAAGGCTTATTGGTGGAAGGGTATGAAAAAGGGTGTTGCCAAGTTTGTGGCTAAGTGCCCGACGTGCCAACAAGTCAAGGCTAAGCACTAGAGGCCTTTGGGTTTTCTAAAGCCGCTAGACATACCGGAATGGAAGTGGGAGCATGTAATGATGGACTTCATCTTTGGGTTGCTGAGGTCCGAAAGAGTGGCGGACGGTGTTTGGGTGGTCGTGGATCAATTGACGAAGTCGGTACACTTCCTTGATGTAAAGGCGACGTATTCGATGCGACGGTATGCCAAATTATACATGAGAGAAATTTTAAGGTTACACGGTATTTCAATGTAAATAGTGTTGGATCGAGACCCACGGTTTACGTCAAATTTTTTAAAAAGCCTACACCATGTCATGGGGATAAATCTAAGGTTTAGTATCGCCTTTCACCCGTAGACGGACGAGTAGTCCGAGAGAGTAATTCGGATCATCGAAGACATGCTCGCGAGCATGTGTATTAGGATGGTCGGCAAGGTGGGAGAGATATCTATCGCTGGCTGAATTCTTGTATAATAATAGCCATCAAGTTAGCATTAGAATGCCACCGTACGAGGCATTGTATGGAAGGAGATGCCAATCACCGGTACATTACGATGAAGTTAGCGAAAGGAAATTGCTTGGTCCGAGATGGTGCAACAAACTGCTTAGATTGCATGCCAAGTCGGGTTGAGATTGAAGGCGACTCAAGATCGGCGGAAAAGCTATGCCGACAGGAGACGAAAGGACTTAGAATTTCGGGTTGTCGACGAGTGTGGTTTTAAAGGTTGCACTCGATGAAAGGAGTGATGCATTTCGGTAAGAAAGGCAAGCTAAGTCCATGGTATATGGGTCCATTCGAGATTTTAGAACAAATCGAGGATAGGGCTTATTGTTTGGTGTTACCACCGACCACTTACTACTGTAGACAATGTGTTCCATGGTTCGATGCTTGTGAAAATACATCAATGATTCCAGCCATGTATTTAGCATTGAGCCGTCGAATTGAAGGCGATTTGAGCTATGATGAGGGGCTGATTTAGATTTTGGATCGAGACACTAAACAGCTATGAAAAAAAGAGATATCTTTAGTAACGGTCTTGTGGACGAACTACAACATTGAGGAGGCGACATGGGAAAGGGAAGCCGAGATGCTAGCTAAATATCCCGTGCTTCGTTTGAGTAAGTTAATTCCAAGGACAAAATTTTTATAGGGAGGGGAGGTTGTAACGATCGAGGTTGTCAAAACATTTGATATGCATGCTTGTGTGTGTAGCTTAATGTCTAATTAATTTGCTTGATGATTGAGGCTTAAATTTTACTAATGCTTGTGATTCGTCGCCGAAAGCCAATTGCATCAAGACATGCCGGATTCACTCGTTGAAAATAGCAATGTCTCAATGCGTCGGTTCACTCGTCGAAGCTCGCCGCGCCAAGACAATCTTATTTCATCGACGAAACTGCTACGTCTAGACTTGCTACTTTCGTTGATGATTTTGATGCTTAACTTAGATTTTGTTGTGAAATGCCATGCTAGTATGTTATATGAAATGTCCGCTAAAAATGACTAAGACTAGATAAGGCATTTTTCATTGGCAAAAATGTTGTCCAGTCTTCCGGTTTACGTCGAAGAAAGCGCCACTTGTCGTGGCCTTAGTTTTCGTTGACGAATTTTAAGCCCAACCATGCATAAAGACATATTAGTCCCTTTATTTTGAAAATCACTTAAGGATACATTAATTATGATTTGTGCTTGAATTAAGGGACTTGATAACATAAATTAAACAAATTAGAGGGACTTACCTTTTCCTTTAGTGAGTGGGAATCTAGGTGTCACCACCATGAATTGCATGGGTGACTTGGCCAAGGAGGTGTCACCCTCCAAGCATTACTTTCATGCATGGCTGCCCTATATAAAGGGAGAGTGAGGCCATGACCGGATTCTTTTGGCCATTTGAGACTTCTACAAGAGAAAAGGGAGAGTTAATTTGAGTGGGAGCTGCTGTGACTTAGGGAGTTGCTTGCCATTCTTGAAATTGAGCTGAACCAAATGCCAAGGAGGGTCTATTATGGTTTATTAAAGTATTTTTCAATCTTATATCTTCGAACAGGTAAGTGTAATCCTCTTAACTACACTACAAGACCTAGCTTTAGGCATTCTACATATGTTGAGCTTTAAGTGTTCCTGTGATGGTTTGTTGAATAAAAGGGTTAAAACTTGATACATGTGGACTTAGGACTAACCATTAAGCTTAGATTAAATTATGCCAAAATTGCCTAGCTTTGGCTTATATTCTGTAAAAAATGTTTAATTATGATTCCGCCAAAATGCTTGACTTGTATTCTGTCGAAAATGTTTAATTATGATTCTACCAAAAATATTGGTCGAAATGCTTGGCTTGTATTTTATCAAAAATGCTTACTTATGACTCTGTCGAATTTTCTTAGTTGTGATTCTACCGAAAATGCCTAGCTTATGATTCCGTCGAATTTACTTAACCGCGATTCTACCGAATTTGCTTAGCCTTCATGACTCTGTCGAAAATGCTTGTATGATTCCGTCGAAATTGCTTTGATGAGTTATAACATGTCTTGGATTAACTTTAATGTATAGAGGTTATAAGGACTCTTATGCTAGCTGAATGCATTGACGATTTGGATAATTAAGCATTTAAAAGACATGTATTCATGGCATGGCATTGCTTTCATGACTCATGTTTTAAGCATGAAAACAAATATGCATGAATATGGAAATGTCAACCTTGAGAATGATCTAGTGTATACTCGAGGGTTAAACATAGAGAGGCCACCCTTAGGAATGATCCGGTGTATACTCGAGGGTCGGTCCTCGGCTAGACATCGTTTAATTCCATGGTTTTAAAGAGGGCCGATCGGATATTCGATAAGGCATGTTCAAAAGATAAAAAATGTATTTCATCATGACATTATACTTCCATAAACTCATGCATGATTACATTTGTTGAGCTTTAGCTCATTCTTTATGTCTTGTGGTGTAGGTGACTACAACGATGCTTGCGAGTAGGTTGTCGCGAAGTTGCTTGGACGCTTTTAGGAGTTTGCCAAAAGGTGTACCTTCATCTAGGTATTTAGGTCATATGCTAGGTTTAGATTGTATTTATATGTTATAGCATGTTTTGTTGTAAAATGTTGAATGTAACGACCTTAAGGCCAAGACAAGCATGTAAAAGGTTATTTTCAATAAAATGAAGTATTCGGCCAAAAGTTTGAGTCTCTTACGTTTATGTTGCTTTTAATGTTTTGGTATTCCACGTAAAGAATTCATGATATATCCATATAGGTAGGCCCTTATTTTTCGTTGTGAATCCACATGACGAGTAGGTCGTCATGAATTTCGATAGACACGAGTCGCCATAGATGCGAGCTACCGAGTGCAATTTTGGGTCAATGAAATTCTAAGTCTGCGATGCAACTTTTGTGTCGACGAAAAAGTTTCAGAAATGAATTGAGTTTTTAAGTAGGCTTTTGAGCCAAATGTATTCCACTATACATTGAATGTGTCATGTATGGTTTATGGTCATAGGCATCGATGCGGATTCGGCTAGCGCCGGACGTGGCCGTGCACATTGTAGCTACACCCGACACTCCGTGAATGTTCAACGCTACCATAGCACTCTAGCCTCTCTCTCAAGGCTCGGGGCATTACATATTGGCCTGGTGTTGCCAAAGCAAAAACTTATGTGATTTATTTTAGAAAACATATCACTAGACTTGACTCACCATTAGAACCCATTTGGTTTTAATCTATAGGAATCTCATACAAGATAGGTATAAATGGTCCTCGGACTTGAAGTCATCACAATTATCTCATTGAAGGACTTATACACTTTGAAACTTGTTTAGATAGACCCATTAATGGGCTGTACGGGGCGATTTGTTAGGTGCATTAGGAATCTAATGGAGGTAGGTGTATGACTAAGATGGGATATATCATTCCTCATATGCTAAAGGAGTTATCACATTGCATTTCGATAAATATCTACTAGAGAAATGTATAGGCATAGTAGGAGTACACCAATAGAGCATAGTTGGTTTACTCTAAGAGCTAAGACATTTGGGAATGTACACATAATCAAACAAGACTAATAACCAAGTTTGTGATCACACTATGATAAGTTGACATGAGGGCTGAATTGCTTGGTAACCATGCTCGTGAAAGGTAATAAGGGATTAACTAATCCTCTTAAAGAATTAAGTAATCATGATGCCTTACTAGAGGGCAATCTTGATTTATATATCAAAAGATAAAAAAGGAGTCTTTTGTTCTTGATATATTACCAACATATTTAGGAGCCTATTGCGTTACATGCATAAGTTTAAGTATTCATATTATAAAATAAAAGCAAAGATATTAAAAAAAAGTTTCCAATTATAAAAGTTTTCTATTTTAGAAAGGGTTTCCAAAATAGAATTTTCCTTAAATGAGAAGTTTTCAAAAATGGAAAGTTTCCTTAATTGGAAAGTTTCCTAAAATGAAAATTTTTCTATTTTAGAAATCAATTTCCTAATTTGAAAGTTAATTCCAAATTTGAAACTAAATAAGCTAAAATGGAAATGGGTTTCCTAATTTAGGTTAGAGGGTATTTTGAAAAATTATTTCCTAATGTAAACCTATCTAAAATAATCTAAGATTATTTATTTAGATAATCCAAATAAATTAATTGAGCTAAAATGGTCTTGGCCCATTAGGCTTTATTAAAAAGCCTTATGATATTTTGGTGAGAGGATAAACATCAACCTTATTGGATATGGATGAATTTTTTAAAGATA